ACTGCAACAACATAGATAGAATTTCTGTCTAGGTTGCTACAGTAGCAACCTAGACGGTTACTACGGCAATCTAGACGGAAATTTCGTCTAGGTTGATACAGTGCTATCTAGATGGAAATTTAAATTCCGTCTAGGTTGTATTCCGTTTAGTTTGGTCAACCTAGACGTAATTTTGTTTAGTTCGACTCAAACTAGACAGAATTAATCTAGACGGATTAACCTAGACAGATGTCCGTTTAGGTTGATTAACCTAGACGGGATTCCAAACAACCTAGACCGAATTTTCGTCTAGGTTGCGCGTTTTTCTACTAAGTGATTGAAGCTATAACATATGTATAGTGTAATCATAAGATGTTAGCCCTAGTCACAAAAAAGGAAGGAAAAAAACATTACAACCTCCACTCAATAATAGTAAATTATGTCATACGAATATTATTTACATTCTGCTAATATTAATAATTAAATTACTTACAATAAATCTTTCAATTAAATCTGACTCAATATACAATAGTAACAAGCTGGAGGTGTATACTCCATTAAAAAATGTATAGTGCCAATAGTTCTTGTAGCAACGTCAAAAGATTTTCTTTTTAGGGGTATAAATAATATTTACTACACCTATCTTAGTGGAGAAAGAAAAGTTTCAATCCATCATGAAAATTATAATATAGGTCATTCATCCATAACTTCCTCATATTCCTAAACGCCTCTATTAATTACCTATTAAATTTCTATTAACTCACACTTAGGTGGGTTAAACGAGTGAGTTTGGGTATTAAATGTGCGGGTCATAAATAGGCGGGCATATTTTGCCCATTTATCTCTTTATGACCCATTTAAGATTTTCTAAATGAGCGGGTTTTTGCCTGCCCATTTAATAAACGGGTCGCCCATTTGCCCGTTTAACTATAATAGCTATATATATATAATACTTTTGGGGTGTTTCTGTAAACTTTTAGGGTTTTTTTGTAAACTATAATAGCTATATACAGCTTCCACAAAGTCACCTTGCAAAAGAAAAAGGTAACTAAAAAGAGTATACACATTATGATCAAGAACTACAAAAAGCAATGCACATCCAGACTACCATAACCAGATTGAAAACAAACATTTTATAAGACCAACACTGAAAAAGTTAAACCGACATAGACGTAATATTCAAGTCCAAAAAAAAACAACTTCCTTCACGGTCAAACACTCCATTCTCTTCTCGAAAGTCTATTACGGCGCTTCATCAAGAAAGGTGCTTCATCATGAATGAAGCTCCATCTATTAGAGAGTCGGCTTCTCCAAGTCAAAAACGTATCATACAGATATGGAAACCCGAAGCAAAACAGGAGAAAAAACACCACAATTCCACATATTTTCATCACATTTATAAATCCATCTTTTATGGCCGGATCATTTTGCATGGTCCAGGGTACACCGCCAACGTTCATCCCAAAAACTGCGGCCAAGAAAGAAATTTATTAGAATTTGCAAATATTATCATGATATCGGGGGTTGGAGTAGCAACATTCTGGAAGAAAATAATTCCGTAAATTAAATGGAGTGTGTATAGTAACTTCTTAGAATTTGAAGTGTAGTTTCCACACTTGCAAGAAAATCAATGTATTTATTAGATTTGAATTTGCTGAACAAACTTAGCCTTCTAATATGTCAAGTTGCATGTTGAAATTTGGATCTATTTTCTGCAGTTGGATGTTTACACTTGACAAACAACATTTGAATTGAGAATTAGACCGGCACTTACTTCCTGTAATGATAGATAGAGGGAGAAAAATCACAGAGAGAAATGAGAGGCAGTAGAGCTTCCTGTTTATTTGCTCAGCTTACTTTCTGTAATCTATCTTCCTGTAATCTATCTTCATGATATATGCTCAAGAACCACCTCTTCCTAACAGATTATAGCGTACAGATTATAAAATGGCGAAGAAAGATTATAGCATACAGATTATAAGATGGGAAATGGGAGAGAAGGAATATGCATGAATAAAATATAGTATCATCACCTAATCACTTTCGCCTTCCGATTTAGAAACCTCTAGATTACTGAAATCATGTACTAATAAATTTCCTTCTTCAATGTCTGCCAGAGCTGCATTTAATAAGAAAAAATAATATTAATATTTTATGGTGAAATATGTAGCACACAACAATACAAAAAAGCAATAAAGAGAAAAAAAGAAGGCAACTCACAAGGAATCCCGTCTAACCAAGAACCAGTAAAAATTTGCATTCTTCAAGAATCTCACAATACTAAACAGGAAATAAACAGGTAAAATAAAATAATGCAAGGACTATGATCAGAGATACTAGGGGGGCGGTAGTGAAATAAGACATTTGATCATATTGAACCTCCTACATCTTAATTAATTCTATATTAGACCCTCAAATTTCCATATTTCTGAATTAGACTATGACAAAAACACAAGTGGAAATACAAGGGTCAATTGAAAGCAGCATACAGTAATCCAATATCCTCACACTTGTGGGAATAAGTAACAAATATCCCTCCTTTTTTTTAAGCAACAAATATCAAGTCACCCATTCGCCATTGATAAGAATTCTGTCCAACTTGCAATGGACATGAGAATTACTCCAAGTAAAGAAGCACCCAGTGATCTTGAGGTCAGTAGCATGAGTATCATGCATAAGAGATTGAAGCTTGATAAGTTCTCTTCTAGAAACTGGTTTACCATAGGCTCTCTCCTCAACAACTTGAATAGAATTAAAATCACCCTAGATAGTCCAAGGACTCTGAATACTAGTTGAGATACTCATAATGTCTTCCCATAAAGCAACAACAGCTCTCTTACTAGCTTAAAACCATAGATAAAAATGGTAAAGAAAGACAGAGAGGAGCATTTATCCTCCACACAACAGTGTACAAGCTGAGAAGTAACAATGACACATGCATACCCTTCAAAATCTAGTCCAATATGTTATTTGACGGGATACTCCTCTGTTTAGTTCTTAATCTACAGATAATACAGAAATAAACAAAAAAATTTGCATTCTAATCCGTTAGATTAGACCCAAAAAAGCATACACTATATTGTAGTAAATTAAGAAACAAAAGAACAAATATATTTAAAAAAATGCAAAAGATCTTATGCACAGATGAACACAAAAAAATTCAAATCAAAGGAACAGTCAAATTTTTAAGGGAAAACCTAGATCCGAGATTACAATGTGCATTTAGAATTTAGATAGAAAATTTGACTGAATTTTATAGAAAGATTTGAGATTGGAATTCACCTGAGAGAAAGATTGCTATCGCAGGAAGTGGTGGCGACTTTAACGGCGACTTGAGTTGGCGGAGGCGGCGACTTC